GTGGAGGGGGGGGGGGGGGTGGGTCGGTAATGACTCGCTGTCCGGCTTCCTGATTGGCCAGTTTTCCGACCAATCCCGTCTGTCCTTAACCCTTTGTTGGGACAGGCAGCGTTCAAATCTACAAATGATAATGAAAGCTGCCGGCACAGTGCAAACCGGGATAAATACAGTAAACATTAGCCTCCCTCCAGCCCCCTCCTTAACATTACATAGGGGGAAGCTAGATAGGATGTTTAGCAAGTAAAAAACACTTAAAAAGGTAAGCAGCCAATTTCAATTTTTTTTTTTTTTTTAAATTCTGCTATGCAAATAGGAACAAATATAATGTAGATGTTATCCCAATTATGCTGCAAAAATACATGTCCATGAAAGGCAACTATACCAGCTAAAGATAAATTACCAATCTGCATATGCTTGCTTGATACAGATATTGTCAAGTATTTTATGATTAAAACGAAATGAATATGGAGTCCTAGAAAAGTATTTGCAATGCCTCCCTTTAAGGACTCATGAATAATAACAGCTTGATGTCTTTGCCTAGTAGCTCCATTATCTAGGTCAGCGGTTACACCCACATTCTGCCACCGGATGGCAGCATTGGCAGCTCTTTTGCAGCCAAATCACCAGTGACAGATGTTCTAATATGCATTTATAGATTCAGGTTTCACATGTTGCTATGGTGACCGAGGGGCAAGGACACTGATTATTCAGGGTTAACTGTTTGATCTCAGCAACACGAGGGAGCAGGCATTGGAATTCCCATTTAGGATTCCCCTTTCTTTTCCCACCCACTTGTTTGTGCTAGGGCAGAGCAGACTTCTTGTAGTTCAGGTTTTCTGACCTGAACAAATGACTAAGCAAGCTTTTCAACCCTTTGTGCTTAGAATTAATAATACCGACATAATACCTGGTGAGAATCTGTTAGCTGATGCATTGGCAAAGGAAAAAGCACGGCAGATACAGCAGCCCCAGTTAGCGTTTGTTCACATGGATTTTTCTAGCAGGAAGCAGCAGTACAAATTCATTTTAAATCTAATCCAGCTGCTGCGTTAAAGGATCATTGAAAATAATCGGCATGTGACCGTCTCGCTGACCCCTAGCGCGCTTCATGTGCCGCACAGCTGTGGCTTTTTCAGTGTTATGTAACTCTCCGTAAGACAGCGTAATGCAGAGTTTATTAAAAAAAAAGCCCACCCTTCTGTCACTGTTTTCTGATTGCTTATTACAATGGATAAACAAGTATCCTTGCTGTATTTTCGGCTTTCATTTTGCAATATTCTGCTATATTCTTTTCATCCAGCAGAGGGCGCATGGATCCAGCTTTTCATTTTTCTGTAGCCTTTCACCTCTCCCCTCCCCAGGATTGTGCAATGCAGACAGGAGGGGAGGACAGGTCTGCAGTGCGGTGAAGGCATGGCACGTAATATGAAACGTCAGGAAGAAATTCCCATAACTCATGCTATCTCCCCCTCCCCCTTCCCTTTGGGCTTGATGCCAGAGCGTGGGATTCTTCCTTTGTGCAGCTGATTCACAAAAAGCTGTATGTGTGTATTTTGGACACGTGCTGGTAATCGCCTTTATGCTGTGGCCAGCAGAGGGAGAAGCAAGAAAAGCTTTATGGCTTGATTTTCTAACACATTACAGATCTGCAGGACAGAGGCAACAGCTGCCTGCAAACGCTGCATACGTTTACTGCAGTGGATTTTACAGAGAATCACAGTTCCCTGCTCTGTTTGAGGTTGATCAGCTATGCTGTGTACCATCAGAATGAACTGCAATCCTTGTACAGAAACAAGATGAGATCGCTCTTGACCCAAATGTGTGTGGGTGCATAGAGCCTTCTGCTCTGTTGATGGGGGCACATGAGATCTGTGTGTATACACATGTATTCATGCAAGCTCTGATTCCCCTCCAGGCAAGCAGAACATCTTGGCACCCCGCCCCCATCCACATTTTATTTTTGTGGTAAACGCAGGTTGCAGGAATCCAAATATAGCGTGTTAAATAGAATGTTGGTTAGATTGTTGTTTAGAATGTGCTATATAGGATTTATTACACCTAGTGCAGATTTGATATGTTCAGCTCTCGCTTTGAATTTGTTTTTAGCTTGTATATATATTTGGACTGCTTTTACTAAAATTCAATTCAGATAAAAAGAAAAACAACATTCACTTCACATTTTAAGCAAACCTTTGCAGTGCCCACGCTTGTAAACATAGTTCCCAAGCATGTAATCAATGATAGCTTCATGAGCGTCTGTCATCTGTTTTAAATCCACTCCTTCAGCCAAAACACGCAGTCTTAGGCTCCATTCATCTATAAAGTTTGCGGTTTACACGCAGGAGACCGTGCGGGACGAAAACGCTAACATTTGTAATCTGCACGGATGCCACTCGTTTGTGGCTATTAAATAGCAGCAAACGTACGGAATCCGCTGTATTATTGCGCTTGTACTATTTTGGGGCCACACGGTTTCATACCACGTGGTCCCCGCGATAGTCTGAATGATGCACATTAAAGTGCATTGTTTTCTCTGTTTAGAGCGACTTTACGTGTATCCATACAGCCGAATACGCACAGACAGCCGCTCCAGGGTGAATGGAGCCTTAGCAGACATAATAGTGCTGTTACCGATATGCAATTTTTGACCAATATTGTCAAAGTTTGCTGAAAAGTCTTCTGTGTTAAGCACTTCCAGGAGTGGCAGATGTTGGCATCCCACACTACACTCTGTGACAACATCCGCTGACCCCTATATCACTACAGGACATAGGGGCTGGGATAAGGAACCAGAGTGTAGCGGTGGGGACCAGGCATCTGACACACCTGAACTGTGCCACAGATGCTGACAACTCTTCAACAAGATTATCTCTGGAGGACAGCGGAGGCTGTCAGCGTGGGCAGCAGCAGGGTACGTATTAAACAATTTCTTTACAAGCTAAAGCAGGCCAGACACTAATAGATTTCTTTTGTTCAGCCCATAGAAATCTAACAGCCCTCCCTTTCCCGCTGGGCTATTGTATTCTGACCAGTCACTGTCAAAATACCTGAACAGTAGCCGCAGCTGATTGGCTACAGACACTGCTCGCCCCAGCTTCTTCGGCCAAAAATTCTAACAGTGTATGGCCAGCTCTTACTGATACCTATTTATCCATTTTGGTGAACATTAACAGCTTTTAGCCTAATGGCCAGCTTCTCAAAAATATGTAGGCCCAAACCCTGTTTGCAATGGAATAGGCAATCCTGTGCAACACTAGCATATTCTCTGTATCTGAGGTGACATTTATTCTAGATCAGTTATGCAGAGTAGATATGTTCATTCAGTTCTCTAAAACAATATGACCAGTTTGAGGTTTTCTTGTGGCAGTCCACCAATGTTGTGATCCCTTTTCGAGCATCAAATCTACACTCCATTCAAAAAAGAAAGTGGAGCCTGGAAATGCACACAGGGCGCACGCACCATGTACCTCGTGAGCTGTAGCTTTTATCTAGGCATTGTTGTAGTGCACCAGTCAACCTCACTATCTTTGTTGGCTATCTGGTGATCTGTGAACTCATTTTGCTTGCCTGTTTGTAATGGAGAGATCCATACACATCTAAATGTTGTTTTATATTGTATTCCTTACAGAGGGTGATGAAACGGGTGTTATGGACAGTCTGATGGAGGCCCTACAGTCCGGTGCTGCATTTAGAAGGAAAAGAGGCCCACGGCAAGGTAATCCCCATTATTAATGTTGTGTTTGTACACTTCTTTTTTTTGAAGATTTCTCCTTACAATCATGGGAAGACCCACAAATGTTTTATAAACGTGTTCTACATTGTTACGAGTGGAATTAATAATATGTTTCTCTTTTATTTATTGGTGTACTCGGTACAAGTAGGATGAGTTTAACATTAAAAATAAAACATGAACTTATTTCAGTAACTCTACAGATCAAAATATTCTGAAAGGAAAATAACAGACTGTGCTCCAATATAACACACACTTTATTATACAACACAATCACTTGCCATAGAAGCCCTCTTTATCCAAATGTCAAACTTTGTCAAAGAATTGGTTTTAGTAGTTCATATGGCTTTAAGTAATGCTCTGTGGGGGAAATAAAGGCGAACAAGAATTTGTGAGAAAGAAAGGATTCTGGGCAAATGCAGTTATGTCTTAATATAGTATCATATGATCTTTGTTACAGTAAATTTGTCACGATTGAAATACAGGGGATGCCATTTCTGTCATACTTTTGAAAATGCCTGTTAACTGGCTCTTACGTTGACGCTTTAGCTTTAGAAGATCAAGAAAGCCAATTTGCAGAAGTCAGTGACTTAACATATTGATTTCAGAAGATCAGCATATCAGCCAGGTAACTAGGATTTCCTGAAGGATGGGTCAGCAGCCTAGCTAACATTTGTTTTTTTTACCTGTGAAGCTTTCAGGATAGCAATGTGCGAGTCACACAGTGCTAGCAACCATCATATTCACTGAGACACCGCCTTTACTTTGATTCAGCGACGCAGAACAAACAGATGTGAAGTCAATGACTGATCTCCTTACATATCCTGGGTCAGTTAGTCAGAAAGCGTTGAAACAGATTGGCATGACAGTGAGGCAGCTAGCATTTTTAGGTAAAGAATGCCAACCTACATACTGTATGTTTCTAAGTGCAGGTTTCCCTAAAAAATAGTAATGTGCCCTGCATCTGCATTCACAATGCATTATCCTAGCATATTTACCTCTCCTATTGGTAGCTAGCCTTTGTCATAAAGTAATTTCATTATTTTAGCAATCACGTATAAAAGGTGATGGGTACAATCCAACAAGTTTGTGCATGATAGGGTTTTCTTGCCAAAAGTACAGCTTTGATTTAAACAATTGTACAGCAATGAGTCACATTAGGGTGCGGTGCTGTACAGTTTAAAAATTCTTCCTATTATGGATCAGTATCCTCAGTTGCAGCTCTGAGATGATAAAGTAAAAAGGAATATTAAATGATACATTAACTCCTTAGACAGCCTGCTTCTTTTCTCTAAATTATTGGATACGTATGGATTTAGTTGTGTTTGCATAGTCTGTTCTATGGAAGAGCAGTTTTCTGTGAGACATGAATATAGAATTGTGTATTTCTGTGTAGTGCTCCTGCAAATTTTATTAGGATAAGGCTAATGTGCCGCATGACGTTACACAGCATCATGGCTAGGTGTTCCCGCTCCTCTAATTGCATCAATAAATGTGTACAATGCAGCAGAAGCTTTGGGATCCCTACAAACAGGGTGGGCACATTGAAAATTTTAAGGAGGGCAAGAATAGGGTAAAGAGCTATGACTGGGAGATCTCACTGCAGGAGTGCCCATTGGCTGCTGAGAAACCTTTAAAGGAGAACTATGAGGCGAGTTAAAATCACTCAGCCTCATAGTTGGAGCCGACGTGTGACATTGAAACTGTCACCTGTTGGCTCTATAGATCAGCAAGTGAGCGAACACATATCGTCGCTCGATCACTTCTCGATCCTGTGACTTCCAAGGCTCCCTGCAGGGATTCCCCCCTCCCCTGTCCAATCCTCCAGCGCTGAGTGGCGGAACGAACGGGGGAGGGGACGGGTACAACTGGCTCTGCCTCTAGATAGGCAGAACCAGCTGTCAATCACCCAGCTGGGTGGATCCAGACAGTATTGTCGGGATCCGTCCCGGCTGCGGTGTCTCAGTATACCGCGAGCTGTAGCTCGCGGTATACTGAGCTTTGGGTGATGGGAGGACGCTAGTTTGTGTCCTCCCTTTACCCTTAGGAGAACTATGGGGAAAATTACTGACCCCATAGTTCTCCTTTTAATGTACAAGCAAATTCTGGGACAGTTTATAAGAACCCCTGTTGGGTTTTACTGCTATCCACTGCTAGAGAGATTTCCCCTCACTTACTGTCCCGGAAAGGTTTTATCAAATGGGAAGTAAGGGAAAATGTTCAGTACAGGTTGAAATTAAAATGCATTTCAGTAGTTGTGAGGTTTATATTGCTGTTAGTGCCACTGGTAGCAACTAGACAGGGAAATCTGCAAGTGACACCAAGTGTGGGGATATCTCTCTTACAAATTCCCAGATAACCCAACAGGGGTTCTAACCTCCCATTCTATCCAAAATTAAAAAAAAAGGCCTATACATACATTTTAACTGGTCAAAATGTCACATTGCTTAATCTGATAAAACGACTGTAATGGGTAATAGTAAATATATCAAATGTGGTCTGTTTTGAGAAGACAAAGTTGCTATTTACAGAAGCAAAAAGCATTGAAGTATAGTGTTGCTTATATATGGTTCCAATATCCATTAATGCTGATAAGTATTGTCTTGGATGATTAGCCTTGCTCAGCTTTATCTAAACTTCTGGTCTTATTATTCTCTTCCTCCTAGAATCAGCAGTAGTCCTTCTTAGAGTTTCTAGTTTACTGACATTGAATAAATGCTTTTGGAAAAGACATGTTTCATGTGTTGCACATGTTCTTACCGTGACCCATTGTTCCTGGTGTGATAACAGTATAGATTGTTTAAACCAGAGATTTATCACTGACAACAAACTGATGAAAAAACATATTTGGTTCTCTGAGCCGCAGAGTGAAGTCAGGAAATGTTTCTTTAGGTCATGGTCAGTGATACAATGACCTGTTTATTCAAACAGTAGAGTCCTTGTAGAATGATGTGGTAGTAATCATTGCTGTGTTCTGCTGATAAAAAAAAAGTCACATATGCATACTGTGCATATCTGATATGAGGGTTGTTGGCACCCCCAACCTGGTCACATGATGATTAGATGACCAAGTTGTCAGTGTTTCAGAACAATGCTAAATGGGCACATCTTTAGACGAGTTATCTGCAGTTTGTGGGCATATAGTACTGTCCAGACATATCATTAAGGTCTATTGTGGAGATGTCAATAAAATGAGACATGAAGTCTTTACTTGGCATCATTAGCATGTTTCTAACATTAACATAAGTTTCAAATTAAAGGTGATTTCTACCCTGTATTCTGCTTTACAAAACACTGTAAGCTTGCTTCAAATGTGACAGAAATAAAGGGTCAACTTCACATTTAATGAAGTTGTCCTTTATAGCCCCAGCAGTGAAACTGGTATGGGTAAATATCTTCAGCCCCACTGTGAAGATATTTATTGTGCAGCCCAGCCCAGTATCACCCAGCCTTTGCTTGCAAATGGTCCTGGCTTGGCCCAGCACCTACCAAGCATATGTGCCAAGACCCTCATTCATTCCTATGACTGGGATCATATACATGAAATACAAAGCAATCCATAGGAGTATAGACCCAGCCATACAGTGCAGTAAACCATTCATGTCTGTGATTGCCCCAAGGGAGTTTACAGATTAATTTTAAACTTCCTGTGTTTATTGGTCAGAAGCAGTACCAGTATGGTTTTGAACTGTGGGAGAAGAACATGCTGTTAGACCACTTTACTGCACTCATTGTTTATGTGAAGCAGCTGGAGATTCCCACAGTTGGCAACATTACTGTCCATTAATACTTCTTAGCTTCTACGTAATATATGAATGTATATCTTCTCACTACCAATCTAAGGAGCTATGGGTATCATCATCATTGTTTTCAGCTTTAGTATGAAGAAAAAAAAAAAAACACGTTTTATGTGTGAACAGAATCCATGTGTATATCGTTTTAACTCTGATATTTCTGGACTGTAATTATGTGTGTAGAGGAATGCACACTTCAGTCTGCAGCTATACACCCACTTAACACATCCTTGCTAATTTTAGCTAAATACACTGCATTTTCAGAAATAAAATGTTACTGTGAAGAGGTATTTCTGTTTCTGTAAACAGAACCAATTTTAGTAATGTATTCTATATCTTGCATGGCATGGTGTATAATAATCTTCACCAAAAAATAGGTTTACAAAAGGTTTCTCACGAACGTATAATATATAAAGGTTCATAGAAGGGTTAGTGAAAATAATTGTATGCTTATTTGTTTTATCTAACTAATGGTATATTTTATTACAGCATAGACAGTGACTTCTGTACAGATCTGTGAATGGCATTAGAGGGTAGGATGTTTTCAACCTAGGGTGATATAAGACTTAAAGTGTATTTCTACTTTTGCAGCCAAATTGGGATAAAACCCATTTTATATTTTTTTTTTACAGGTTTCTCATTCATATAGCATAAGTTAAAAAAAAAATGCTGTTTGCAAAAAAACAATGCTCAAATATGTAAGAAAGCTGTGCTGTGTTAAATTTCTGTCTGGATTGCAAGGAGGGTGGTTTACAATAGTTAACCTTGTCTGTCCTGTTCTACCAGATCTTATCAGTTGTAAACTAGATGTAAACACAGTCTGTCCTAACAAAGGGTTAAAGACCTGCAATCTTTCTAAGTTAATGATTGGGGGGGTGTCTGTCATAAGTCATTTTATTAGGAAGAACAGGGTTTCCTGTTAATGAAATTGAGAGAGGAGCATGCAAAGGCCTGCTAAATTGAAATATCTAAAAGGTAAGACATATTTATTTCAAACATTATTTTTAAATATGCTGTGTAAATAGGAACTCGTAACACACACATAGTGGGGGTTTTCTTAATTTTGCCGAAAAAAGTGGAAATACACTTTAAGGTGCCCTAGGTACAAAAGGACCAGTTGTATGACTGCAGTAGCTGGGGATTTGTAGCAAATGTTAACATAGCACGCTAATGGTATTTGTTATCGGGGGT